GCGCCGAGCGAGGAGCTGTGGCCGGGGCCGACGAGCCAGGCTGTCCCCTCCTCGCCGGGGAAGCGCCACCTGCCCCGGGTGTCAGTTCACGAGCTGATGGTCATTTGTTTGCGGTTTCTTCCCCGCTGCCAAATAGCGTGCAGTGGAAATGCAGGGTGCTCGGTCCCCCCCCAGCCGCCCCCCAGCACAGCTTTAATCTATTTTTCATGTCAAGTAACTGCTGCAAGGGGATCTGTTCTAATGAATGGTTAGTTTCAGACGTGTCGCTGACTGAGTTTTGCCTGTCCAGTGTTGCCAGGTCGGCAACAGTGTTATTGTAAACTTTCTTGGGGGTGTGGATGCTTTAGTTTTTCTACACTCTGTTGCCAAGACCTAAAATATCTTCTGCCGTAACTCCTACTTTGTTACTACTGCATTGCTAGGATCCTCTGCCCTGTGTTGAAGAGGCAACGGAATAAAGTTAGGAGAGGGGTTTAAGCTCGTAAAAAGAAAACCCTGAAAGCTGATCAGGCCCTTGCACTTTTTATATGAGAACAGGAAGTCAGATCACAAAGCTAAGAGGGAAATTTAGAGAAAGGGGGGAAGGGAAGAGAACATTCTTTGCATAGCCACTGTCAGCTTAACTCTGGAGGAGCAGAGTGCTGGTCACTACCTCTGCAGGGTCAGGCCTGTATTTTCCTGACTTTGAAATTATGGAGGCCTGGGGTCAGAGTTGGGTTGTAAATGATGTCATGTGCAGTTTCGTGGCCTTCCCAGCATTCAAATGAGACAGAAATTTAAGACAAGGCTTGAAACTCACTGGGATGAGGTAGGGTCCAGTCTGTCTTCATAAGGCGTGCATATTTCCAACTTCATTCAGAAGCGCCTATATCGGGATGTTTGTGTCTTTACCTTCCCTATCTGTATGTAATACGTACACTGGATAAATTTCTATGCCTTTTCTTCCCAGGACTGTCAGTTTATTAATAAAGTCTTGCACAGTGTTCCAAGAAAAGTTGTATGAAAGCCTGAGATAGCGTCTTAAAGATGCTGGAGTCACTTGTATAGGAAGACTGTGGAGTATAAATTGCCCCTGAAATAAACCCAAGTTTTATTGAAACAGCAGTGGTTGTTGCCCTTTTGTGAACTGTTATACTCTCAAGTCAGATTTTGAAGTGGTTCCTGCTATTTGCAGGCAAAAATGTTTCAGCACTTTTCATCGATATAATAATGTGCCTATTTACTATTTCATTATGAATTTGTATGCAAACAATGGACAGGCTTTAATATTACCTGTAAACATACACACTCTTGAAATCTAAGATATTATATGATCAAAATACAAGCCTAAAACTAGATATGTGCTTTATTTTGGTCTCTTTTACCTTATTATTAAAGACATTAATTTAGCGATGTATGCAATTTTAAAATAACTTAGTAGGAAATAATAGTATAGCACGGATGCAAATTAATGTTTGTTTGTTTTTGGTGTTTTTTTTTTAATTGTGAAATACTCCACGGAAAAGTTGCACTGATATTTTGTTTACTTAATAGTGATTTTTCCAAGTGAAATTAATAAAGCTAGTCTGGCATTTTCTGATGTGTGTAATATTTGATTATAGTTATAATTTTTTTTTTCTCCTTTACTTTTGGTGGGCACACAAATATGTAGTGGTAGATTACTGCATAACAATATTCCTGTTACATAGTTTAAGGGGTTTTTATGCTTGTGCTGAAAGCGTAATGTAAACATAACTCCCCAACAAAGAAACAAGACTTCTGGTAATCTTGACAGATCATTCAAGGAGCTCTATAACCGTGTGCTCTACAATCCACATTTAGCAGAAAAAAAAAAAAAAAGTCACTTACTGAGCCGTTTCTTTGGTGTACATATTAAGTGGGAGGGTTATGTCTTTCAGCACCCTCGCTACAGGGAGTTAATTGTCCTTTAAATCTTTCCTCCCTTCCCATGCAATGTAAAATTTACCACTCGATCTTCTTGTATTTACGTCGCTATTTTGCTTTCTTTTAGGCAACCTGCCCAAGCATGCAGCACTGCCCCTGATTCGGCACTTGAGCTGAAGCAGATCACTCATTGTCCCAGCCTCTCAAATTTTACCCAGGTCACGATGGTGCCGTTGGGGCACCTAGCCAAAGGGGCCACTTTGGAAGATCTTCTTGAAACCTGCATTCAGTCTTTTGGTGAGTGTCTGGAGGTTTTTAGAATGGTATTAATTTGTTGCTGTCCTGGCTACGCTTACTAGTCACTTACTAGTGAATTACATTGATTTATTAGTGGAGTAGAAAGGCATAACTGAGAATTTTCTATACTGTAGGTGACCTCATATTTTTATAGGTTTGTGGATCTGTTTATGCATATGTGTGTAATATATGCTAAGAGATTAGTGTCACTACTGCTTTTTCTTGAGAGAATAAGACAAACGCCGGTCACCTATACTTCTATGTGTGTTTGTTGTTCCTTCACGTACCAATTTGATAAACTTTAGCAAGTAATCATTACATTTTGCATATTGCAGTAGTATTCTCATAATATGTGTGAACAACATCTTTATATTAAACATTTTGAAATGAGCAGGGCTATCTTTAAATCTATACTGATAATGCAAGAAGCAATCCAATGTTATTTCACCTAGTTTAAAGTTGCTTCTCTACAAAAGAGAAAGAACAAAAATCACAACTGTATACCTTTTTGAGCCTATCAGTTATCCATTTGTCTTTTTACAATAAGAGTTGTAATATATGGACAAGCACAACTGTTGCCTGAGCCCTGTATCTCTAGTTTCCTTTTCCAACTTTTTCAGAAGTAAATGTGTTTATTTTTTATATTATTAAAATATGTTAGTAGTGAAGGCATGCAAAATGATTCTGAATAATTTGCTTGTGAGTAGCGCATCTGTTCGTTAATGCTGTGTCTTTCAGTGCTGTGAGCTATTCCCAAAGCATATGTGGCAAAGTCTTAGTTGCAGAGTAGTCCTTAGAAAATAAATGTACTTCAACACCCACTAAGCTCTAAAATAATTAATCTATATGGTTAAATAGGAACACATATAGTGCTGATCTAGTGATACAGCACATATATATACTGTATAAACAATGACTAATCTTTCACATTCATTGGATTTTTTTTTTTAACTTTAAAGCATTCTAATCAGCATGTGCAGAGAAATGCATGTCTGAGAAAAGTTGATGAAACATATAATTGTCAGTAATGTTTTGTTTCTTTTTGGCTTCTTTTCTCCATTTAATTGTTGTAAAGAACATATAGCAGTTCAGTGGATAAAGCCCTAATTCCTAAACAAATGTCGATTCATATTTTTATAAGTTTTGGTTCACTGGGAGTGAGATAACATGCAGGACCTTCGTACAGTTTTAATATTGTGACTACTTGACCAATATTAATGTGTTCATATTTTTAGGGAAAAAATGTATTATAAATGTAACATTATAAAAATCTAGTAAAATGGTCATGGTGATTGATTTCAAGTAGTGGAGGTGAAACCCTGAATGGGAGATTATTGTTGGCTTAGTTATTTGAATACTTTTAAAATACTCAATGTATATCAGCATACACATGCTTATGTGTTCTCAGATTCCTGGGCATCCATATATTATAAGGACTAAAGTGACAAAGAAAAGCAAGTGTACCTGTCCAGTTCAGCTATATAGGCATGTGAATCTTTCTAAAGGGTTTCATACTTCAGTTAGAAAATTTACCATAGTCCACTAAATAGGGTTTTCTTGAACCTTGACAAGTGGTACGTAGGTCTAGCAAAGTGAATTGTAGTGCGTCTGCAAACATAATCTTAAACTCACTAAGGACTGCTAGAATTATGATGTGTGCTGCAGAAAATTAGACTCTTCATTGGGCAATTCATAGTAGTGTCTGTATTTGTACATCTTCTATGACATTATGCATGTTCTTAAGCTATGTTGGAATTTCCCAGTGGGGTATTTAAATAAATTGTAAAGTGCAACTGTTACAGCTATAGATAACCTACATAACAAAGTTCCTTAAAGAAGGTTCTTGTAGCTACTAACAAAAACACTGTGCAAAATTCATTCACATCATTGTGCCAGTAAAGGAAGAGATGGAAAAATCTTTAATCTGGGAGTTTGAGGAGGGGTGGGGCTAGGGCTAGGGAGAAAAATGGTGGGGAAAAAAAGCATAGTTGCTGAATGATTACAAGTAAATTGAGTGATTGAGCGAGTTTCTTCCCATGCATAGTACTAGAGTAAAGCTATTACACTGTACTCTAATAGTTCTATTCAGACTGAAGTTATATCTTCAGTCTCAGATATGCTGACCTATAATATTTTGTATATTATTCTAGAAATTCATTACTGTGATCTGAGCAAGTTTTATTTCAATACAAAATATACAGAAACCCCCAAGACATAAGCACAGATTTCCTTTGTATATTTTCAGTTTACTTCCTGGAAAAAATCCTTGATTCATTTGCTGTCTAGGGTTAAGGAGAACAACAAGCAGTAGATAGAGATGATGATGCATCACATTTCAGAATATATACTGCATTATGTTAATATTATACTGCACTTGCTACCATTACGTGTACAATTACAAATGCAATTCCTATATAAAGTTTGCAGCTGAATATATATTCCTGGACTCAATTATAGAAGTTTGGAAAAAGCAAATAATGTGTAAGTGGGGTTGCTGTCAACAATGGTGTGTAAGGGGAAGTTGGCAGCCTTTTGCCATATATGCAGAGAGTATCACAAGAAAGTCTAACCAAGAAGCTATTAAGAATTAATACACACTTACAGCTGTGAAGAACACAAGTGTAAGTTATTTATCTTACAGTATGGATAAGGGGAAAAAATGAGAAAGGGGGGATATGCTAAGTTAAAGTTAAGAGTGAGAAGGCTAAGCTTTGCCACAGTGTTGTAAATGGATTCCAGGATGTTTTGTAGAAAGACAGGTTTTGTCCAGAGCCAAGTTAATCCAAAACCTATGCTAAGGAGGCGAGGAACAAAGATTGGTTCTTGGAGTTAGTGATATTGTCTGTGGGTCTACAACAGTGCTGGGTAGAAGATGACACTGGAATGTGGACAGAATAGTGTGAATTACAATGGTGGTGTTGTACCTGTTAATTCCAAAAGTAAAGAGTTAGGAGGTCTTTTTTTTTTTTTTTTTTTTTTTTTTTAAGAAAAGACCAAAAGCTTATTCAGTGTAATTAACTTAAACATCTACTTTGGGATGACTAGTTTGTGCTCTTTCACCTCTCAAATTTGGTTTTCTTTAGCTTGAACTGATGAATGATAGGCATGTGCTTTAGAGACAGAAACAGTGACGGTCATATGAGGTAGTGTGAAGTCATGTAGATGATCACTACATCGGAGAGATCAGCTTTACACCAGTGTTTATTCAATAGCATGATGAGAAGGAGATGCTGAAAGTAGAGGTTTCTTCAAGTCCCATGAAAGGTTGCATCAGGATGAGCGAGATGAATCACCCTGCAAATGAATTGCCAAAAGTAAAGGCAACAGAAAAGCCAGGATGTAAGCTAGGGCAAGAGTTCAGGAAAAATAACATGATGAGAGATTGAAGGCAGGAAGTGTCTTAGAAAGGAATATTAGTCCTGAGATTAGGAGATTTGTAGAGACTTGAAACCACTCTCATCAGTTTAACGATATTTGGTTATATAAGACAGTGATTCAAAACATGTTCTACATGACTTGGAAGATCTCTCAACATTATAAGTAGCTACAGGATGCTGTTACTGCTATGATCTGGGTTGACAAGAAGAGCTGTAGAACACAAGTAAATGCATCACATGTGATTGCCTTAGAAAAGAAGGGGAAGTGTAGCATGTAAGTGGAGCTGACAATAACTTTTAAAGATGAAAAAGTGATTGTGTGGAAAGAAAAAGAAATCATAATAGGGAAGTGGAGGAAAAGAGGAATCAAAGAAGGGAGAAGAGCGCATAGAGAGGAAGAGCAGGAGGTAGGGTAAAATGATTGAAAAGACTAGAAAATACAGAGACTGTAGAAAGGTTAGATTCAGTGAAATCTCTCCATCAGAGAGGTTAATTCTGAACAGAAGGTCATAAAGAGAAAATTAAAGGTAGATGTTCAGTTGGCAACAAGATGGCTGAAGTTGTGAGTTCAGGGAAGCAAAGAAGTAATTAATAGATCTTGGCTTGGAATATGACAGCTTCAGGAGGGAGATAATTTATTCTGAAGGAAATCTTCATTAGTGACTGTAGTTCTGGAGTGGAATTGTAAGTAGAACAGTGACTTTAACCCCCTGCATCCATGTTTTTCAATTCTGTAGTATATAAAATGCCTGGAAAAGAATGTACTTTTAACTGGCAGACAGTTCTCTGAAAGTCAATATGGCTTTGTCTCCTACTTTGTTGCTAGTTGTAAAGACACTTATATCAGCTTTGTTGTTGAAACCAACAGGGTAGGGTCTAGTTTACTGGTCCATGGCCATATTGACTATTTAATGCTGACAGTTCAGTAGAACACAGGAAGCACATGCTTAGTAGCACAGCCCTACTTTTTGCTAGTTCTTCTTATAGTAATCTTTGTGAGATTGCGTAAATGCATGTTAACATATATTTAGTCCAGAAAGATATCAGCTTTGTTGTTGAAACCAACAGGGTAGGGTCTAGTTTACTGGTCCATGGCCATATTGACTATTTAATGCTGACAGTTCAGTAGAACACAGGAAGCACATGCTTAGTAGCACAGCCCTACTTTTTGCTAGTTCTTCTTATAGTAATCTTTGTGAGATTGCGTAAATGCATGTTAACATATATTTCTTCCAGAAAGTGTTACAGATAAGAGAGGAAAAATATATCAGCAGTGTTCACTTCACTGGATATTTTAATTTGTTAACTGTATACCTGCTAACTATAGAAATGAAATAATAATTGTTCATAACACTTTTCACCCTAGGCTATCCTGATGCTACTGTGAGCTTGATGTTCTGAGTATGTTAGCAAGTCAGCTTCTATTCTAGCAGACTTCTTTTCTTTCTATTTTGTATCTTCACTATATATTTGTGCATGGTAAGAGGTCCCTCTTTCTTTCCTTCGACTGTAAGCGTCTATATCTTATAAATGTACCTTTTTTTAAATCTTGAGTAAGGTTTAAGTGTGCTTATTTTTTTAAACAAATACACCTTTCAAAGATTCAATGAACTACTTTAGCAT